TCTGGTCCAGAGATGGGTAGTAGACCATGTGGTCCACGCATCTAGACCATCTGATCCACAGATGAGTGGTGCACCAGCTGGTCCACATCTGGTCCACAGATGGGTGGTAGACCATGCGGTCCACATCTGGTCCACAGATGGGTGGTAGACCATGCGGTCCAGATCTGGTCCACAGATGGGTGGTAGACCATCAGGTCCACCCATCTAAACCATCTGGTCCACAGATGGGTGGTAGACCATCGTGGTCCACCCATCTAGACCATCTGGTCCACAAAAGGGTGGTAGACCATCCTGGTCCACCCATCTTAACCATCTGGTCCACAGAAGGGTGGTAGACCATCTGGTCCACAGATGGGTGGCCCCTTCCTGGCTCTTCCAGACTGGCAGACCACATCTGGTTGAGCAGACGTTCCGGGACCACACTCCCAAGGACAGATATGCCTGTCAGTGAGGAAGCAGGGGCAGCTAGACATGATGTCTGTTGGCCTGCCAACCTGCCAGCACATGTAGCTCCAGGACCTGCGGGACCTCGGCTCGGTCCCAAAGGCCCACTGCAAGTCCTACTGCACTCTTCTGGCTTTCCCCAGCATAACCCACCCTCATTATGCCCGCATCTAGCCGGGAAAATAGCTTGTATGCATGGATGATCAGCGTCTGTTGTGTTCATCAGGGTAAGATCATAGTGTCTGCTGTGTCATCAGTCGTAAGGGTATTGAGGGAGATCAGCGGACACCAATGAAAAATGCTTCCAGGGTCATTGCCATCTTTTTGCTTCTTCTTCTTCTTCTTCTTCTTCTTCTTCTTTTTTTTTCTTTTTTTTTTTTTTCCGGGTCATTTTGGGACCTTGAACAAGGTGTTATGGATTGGCTCCACTCTAAGTCGCCCTCCTATAATTTGGGCTAGGACGGTACTCCCATTAGGTTGTATTGGTGGCCAATGCCCTGAAGTATCGGGCCCATAAAGATCGCCTGTGCGTGGCCAAGAGACCAAGACCCATCATAAACTACATGGGACTGTTGATGAATCTTCAAGACCCATGGGACCCTTTGGAACATCCCTGGAACCAGGGTGACCACAGCTTTGCTATCCTTGGGTACATACTAGGATCACAGATCGAAGATTCTCAACATTGGGCTTGATCTCCAGGGGTGCATGACATTTCATGCAGCATTTGGTTTTCATCTCAAGACTCTCGCCTATATATATGCTGCATCCTTAGGACCTCATGACACACACACACACACACAGAGAGAGAGAGAGAGAGAGAGAGAGAGAGAGAGAGAGAGAGAGAGAGAGAGAGAGAGAGAGAGAGAGAGAGA